TTCATGGAACTGGTTTCTTAAAACCTATTGAAAAAACCCTCAGGAGCAAGCAATACAAGAGAATTTTAGAGTCTTTTCTATTCCCTTCTGCTGAAAGTATGCAAATCGACCCCACCAAGCTCATTTTTATGCAGGATAATGTTCGCTGTCACAAATCAAAATTGATGAAGGAATACTTTGATGAGAAGCAGGTGAGTGTTATGACATGGCCATCCCAATCTCCTGACCTCAATCCCATAGAAAACTTATGAAGCATTATAAAGTACAGGCTCTCGAGAAAGCAGTTGAGCAACAAAGAGGATTTGATTATGAATTTCATATCCAAATAGAATTCAATGCTTGGAGATAAGATTTGCCAGAACCTAACCAAGTCAATGCCAAAAAGGTTTGAAAAGGTTATTCAAAATAAAGGAGGACCCATAGATTATTAAATATTTCGAACTATATTACCTCTTATAAATAAATTATACCTCTATTATTCTTTATTTAAAGCTGTTCGGTTATGTTTCTATTCATTACTAGTTGCAGGAAGTAAGTGAGTTTTTCCCTAAATCTCATTTATATCCAAAATTATAATTATCAATAGAATACCTTAGGGTGAATAAACTTTTTTACTAGGTGGTCGGGAAGGGTCTTTATATTAGTAAGATTAAAAATTAGTTTGACCCCAAAAACAATAGGCGAAAAAATTTTTAAATAAAAAAATTCAGGTGAGTCACTTTTATCGAACAGCACTGTATTTCTGAATGTCAACATTTACCTAAGCGTTACTTTGATGACCATCCAAAAAAACAATCAGAATTGGGATGGGAAATTCTTCATCACATGACATATTTACACGACTTGGTGCCATCAGATTATTATTTCTTTCCATCAACGCCGTTTTATTTATCTTGTCAAAAATGTAAACAGGATTTCGATTTTAAAATTTCATTCATATTTTGTATCGAAGGCGTTTTATCAAAATGAAATTTGAAAAATTTCTTAACTTTTACGGAACTTTATAGAAATTCAAGGAAAATATTTTGATGATTAAAAAAACATATACTATACATACTATAGATATATATACTGGAGAGTTTTTCACACACTTAACAGATACCGTATTTGATAGTATAAACGAGACATGGAATGCTGTGAATAGTTTACAAGGTTTAAGAAAAGTTAATTTGACTTGTAGGACAAAGCACACACTCCCATTTCAGCAGGGTATATTCAGGGAGAAGTCTTTTTACTGCATTTAAGTGTGTAATGTTTATAGAAAGCGATCAGTACATTACAAAACTGTAGAAAAGCACTTCAACTCTAGCAGAAAACATTACAATGGAACCTGACAATGGAACTGAACTTTAAGCAAGAAATTACAGTCTAGAAAATATCGTAGATGATTAAAATAATAAAACATGGCAAAAGCAAACTGCCAAATTCGATTGAATATAAAACATAAGGGAATAGGGAAAGGCATTTAGTGTTTTGTAACAAAAGCTTTAATCATTTTCAAGGCCAGAAAAATCTTCATTATCAAAGACTAAAAACTCGTCATCACTATACTACTGGAATCACTGTTGGTACCACTTTCTTCAAAGAATGAGCAGTCTTCTATTGATCCATTGGCAATGCATCACAACGACTTTACAATAATTTTCTTTCTCATAATTTCTCAAGAATTTCCCCCACTAACACTTATTCAATGGTGGGATGTAGCATTCTTCCTGTGGGATGACAGCAGCAACAACAACAACAACAACAATAATAATAATACTACTACTACTACTAATAATAATAATATCGCCTATTGTTGTGAAGTAAATAAGGCATCTCGGTAACACAAATGAACTATGCAAGACGCCTTAAATAAAGAACTCATAGCGAGTCAGGGGAGTTCCGTTGGAATCAGTCGAGACATAATATTATAACCGCTTGGCGTAAGTTATAACAGTGGTGACGAGGAATCAAAATTTATACGGAGTAGAAAAAAGTACTTTTTGCTTCGGCGCGTATGATAACAGTGTCGGCGAGAAATAATAATCACATTTGTTTATTTTTTTTTCTTTGCTGTGTGTAAAAAAAAAGAAAAAATAGAAAGAGGGAAAAGACAAAAATAAACAGATATTCTTTAAGTATGGAAGATCAGCCTAAGTGTTAAAAATACATCACCTATGTAATCTTAATAAGAGCTAGGTAAAACTAGAGTAGTAAGCGTTTTGGATAAAATTAGGTTACAGGAGGCTTTAACTTCGTATATAAGACACGGTGTAATTTTCTTTTAGATATTTTCTTTTAAAATCAGTATTATAAGTTGTCATAATTCTTAATTATCTCTTATTTACCACACCTCAAAGACTGACATAAATAGAATGATGTGAAAACCAAATTGGAAATACTAATAAAAAAGATTATGAAATGGTCGAAAGCTCTTAATGTAAAGCATGAAGCCAGAAAAAGGAAACAGCACAGGTCATCAGGTACATCTGTGAGTACGTGAAAAGGTCACCTGTACGTAACAGGGAAAAGCAACGTAGATAAAAGGCCTTTGCGATACCCGCAGAAGAAAACATAGTCTGTGGAAATTGAAAAAATGCCAATAATCCGGGCCAGTCCTTGAAAGTACTGATATTTTTTAAGCGTCCCTTGTCAACAATTTTACCATTTTTTTTTCTTCCTGTTTTCCGTTTTGAACCGTTTCTTATTCTAAATATTTGCAGAGAAATGGAAAATCGTCACACGTTTTTCAAAGCCAAAAACGTACAAACCAACACACACTCTTTACGGACGCCAGCACAACCAAACTTGTTACGTTAACACAAATACGCCGCGCTCACTAGCCACGCCCTTGTGTATAGTATTTAAGACTTTAACTGCTTTCGTTTGCCTTTTATCTGTTCATTCAGATCCTCGTGCAACGCGCGATGAAAGGATGTTAAGAGGAGAGCAAAGGAAGAAGGGAAAAAATAAAAATGTCGGTTAGTTGTCGTAAGAGTTAAATTACGAGAGTGCTTGGCTCTTTTGACGATTTCGTTTGTGTCTCCCAATCGCAAACCAATTCATACTGGCCCCTTTTTTTTTCTGAATGTTTTATTTTTACTTTTAATTGAAGATACACACTTGAGCACACGCGAGCAAAGAGTCGGAAAAACAAGTTGGGGCGGCTAGACAGACTGACAACCAGACAAACAGTACTGCTTAAACCCAACTATTTTATTATTTTTTCTTTTTTATTTCTTTAAATGGGTGTCGTGTAAATAAGCGTTTCATTGGTTTTGAAATGGATTGCGCGCCGCGGAACGCGCCTATGAATGAAAGTTTACATAGATGTGACTGTAAATACGAACACACACATATATATATATATATATATATATATATATATATATATATATATATATATATATGTATGTATGTGTGTATGTATGTATATATGTATGTATATAGGGGTACGAAGTACAATGAAATACACAAGATAGACGCAGACAGCATACAGATTTACATATGTACATCCACTTAAATATAATTTAAAAATAGTTACAGATATACAGACATTATAGAAAAAAAATGTAGGAGGCTTGCTCCGAAAATAATGCCCCTGATACAGGAAGCGCAAAAACACCGTCGGATGAGAGCAAGTTGTTAGCTTTTCCACGTTAACAATGAAGTCGGTAGAAACATAAACGCGCAATGTCCACTTCATCAACCCGAACATTGCTTGCCACACTTATTGATGTTTTTACTACTTAAATGCATCATCCTCGAGGCTCAAATTCACTGTTTGATTTTTGTAAACGTTCAAGAAGTTTCGATGACTATAAACTTTATGTAATATTTTTCACGTGGATGAATTCAGTGATATACATCTGCTTTATATACACCTTTAATTCAGATGCTGCTATCTCTAATAAGGCAAAAATAATGCAGTGTAACCCGGATATAAGAGAGTTGTCGGGACCGGAGAAGAAGTCTCTTATATCCGGGCTTGGTCTATTTTGTTTAGGTAAGTATGGGCTCTAATTTGGGACCAGATAAAATCTCTCTTATATCCGGGTTTCTCTTATATCCGGGTCTCTTACACTGTATTATGACTTACCGAAAAGAAGGATCAGCTTCACCTACCAGACTGCCTTCGTCCATCTCAGACGTCGTGGGACAACAATAAAATAGGAGGCATTACTTTTGGAACGACTAGCTTATATACAGGGTGCAATGGGTAAATTATCGTCATTTTATATATTTTTTTTATTTTTCGCGTATGCATGTTGTTTGTTTCTGATTTTGTCGACTGCACAGTATATTAGAGACAGTTAGACACTGTCTATGAGAAAAAGAGCACCATGACGCAATTCACTCTGCCAGAAATTTGGAAACGGCATGCTGTACTGCTTGGCATTCACGCCGGAATCTCTAATGCGAAGAACATTTCAGTGTGTTTGGGTGTCAATCTGAGGACACTGCAAATGACTTGAAAAGAGTTGTATGAGTCTAATGGTGATTACGATGGGGTTTGAAGTGATCACTTGTGATGGCGATGTTATGCCTCCATTCATCTTCTCACCTACATCAAGAGCCATGAGGAGGTAGTTCTGCCTTGGGTCAATCAAGAGGGTAGCTGCTGGAAGGCCCCATGTCTGGCAACAGGGCTCTTTAGTATTTCAATATATTTCTGTGTAATTTTGATAAAAATAACTGTTAAAATTAGATGTCAGTATCATTTCCATTTTTGGGTAATTTAGACGACAATTTATCTTGTAATGTAAAGAAGATAAACGCATATTTATATATATTAACACACACCCACACACATGCACATATATTGACCAACCCACATAAACGCAAGCTCGCATATACACAGATGTTGAAAGATCAGATAGATATAAACACGCTAAGATAGATAGATAGATAGATAGATAGATAGATACGAACTGACGACAATATATTACATATGAACAGACTTGTATAGATAGATAGATAGATAGATAGATAGATAGATAGATAGATAATGAAAAGGTTTAGATAGATAGATAGATAGATAGATAGATAGATAGATAGATAATGAAAAGGTTTAGATAGATAGATAGATAGATAGATAGATAGATAGATAGATAGATAGATAGATAGATAGATAGATAATGAAAAGGTTTAGATAGAATGACTTGGTCTTACAAAGTTATAATCAAACGGAGATTCAAAGTGGTTGATATTGTTTCCAGTTTGCTTTCCATTTCCTCTTTTTCTTTTCCATCCCACTGCATATCCCCACTTCCAACCAAATTTCTCACGTGAGGTAACAAAGCAAAGGTTAAGGGTCAATCGAGGCTGACAGTTTTCCCCACCCGATAAATCCTTTAGGTCGAAATGACAAGTGCCTGGCAAATATTTGTATAATAAAATCTCGACAAAATCTCTTCAAGTAACGCCCAACCTCTCGTTAGGGAGGAGCACACAATCGTAAGTAAATATTTCGTCCATGAGAATGTCTTTTAAATTTTCTCTTTAATCTTTCTGTTTTTTTAATACAAAAAAAAAATATAAAAATAAAAAGAAAATAGCAAAGCAAAAAAAAAAAAAAAAAAAAAAAAAAAAAAAGAGAGAAAAAAGAAATACAAAGAAAAATTAAAGGAAAAGAAAATTCGTTTATCTTCATAATTCGTTATCAGCGGAAATGACGTCAGAAGCGATTTCTGGAACAGTTCCGTCTTTATGCTAACTCCCCTTCCGTTCTGATTGTATTTATTTTCGATGATGAATTGGAAAACGGTGAAAAGAAAAACGTTCCACATTAGCCACTTATTTTTTTGTCTATTTTTGGTCATATATTTGAATGAAGACCACAACTGCAACGTGTCGAATGTGGTAAAATTACACACACATACATACACACGCACAGGCATACACACACCACACACACATATAGTGCGATGGATAAATTGTCATCTAAATGACGCAAAAATGAAAAAAAAAACACTGGCATCTCATTTTAACAGATATATTCACCAAAATTACACTAAAAATATCTTGAAATGCTAAATAGTAAATTTCTTTAATAAAATCGCCATTGGCTTCAACCACGGCCTCCAGACGACTTTGAAATCTCCTGCAACTCTTCTGAGCGGTCTCCTTGTTTAAGTTGGTGAATGCTGCCATAGTCCTTGCCTTCAGTTCATCTTTGATGTTACAAGGAGTTTTGCTGGTCTCTAGCTTACTTGTACCCCACGTATAATAATCAAGTGGGTTGCAGTCTGGGGAGTTAGGTGGCCAGATTTAAGAAGTGATGTAGTCGCAGAAGCCATGACTGGGTTCTTCTGTTTGTACGGCATGGTGCAGAGTCCTGTTGCCAGACATAGGGTCTTCCAGCAGCAACCCTCTTGACCTCTTCAAGGCAACTGGTGTAGATGTTAGGTTTGACAGTCCTTCCGAAATATCTTCGATAAAAGTTGAAAAAATGGCTTAACCAATAAATATTCAGCTGTGGGGGTAAAGAGTATACTCCAGGTGATTCTATGAACTCGTCCAATACTATAAAGAGTTCCATGGTATCAGGTCGAGGGTAGTAGCCATATTCGAGTCAGTCTTCATATTAACTATACAGACACACGGCAATATCCTAAGCATTACGTATAGAGAATACTTTAATGAATTACGTTATACTAAGTATGAATTTGTTTATAACAATAGCCTTACAGCAGGAAATTATAATAGTTGGCGACGAGGATCTCTAAATCAGGCGAGACATTATAACTGGAGTTATGATAGCTGGCGATCAGATTTTCGAAGCTCATACGTGTGCAACAGGAGTTACAATAATTTCAACCACGTTGGTTTAAAAAAAAAAGCAAAACATTTCTTGCAGATATGGAGAAAAGTTGGGCTTCAATAGTTGAAATTCAACAACAACAACAACAGAAGCAACAGTAGCAAAATACCCAACACTTGCAACAATTGCTAAACAACAAGAAGAGTTGTTGGAAGTAGTTTTGAAGAAAAATTCTTCAACGTCTCTTACGCCAGACGCGGTGCAAAACATCGTATCAGTATTCGTATACAATCCTGTTGACGGACGGATTTTTGCTGCGTATTTTCGCAGACATGAAGAAATGTTTACTCAGAAATGCGGTGGCTGGGAAGAAGATAAAAAAATAGTTTATTGCTAAGAAAAATAGCATCAACAGAGTACGAAATAAAATGCAATTATATTTTACCGAGAAAACCAGGTGAAATACAGCTTGAAGACACAGCAGACATTCAGACGAAAGTTTTAGTGACAAGTGTTCTCTGTTCCGTGCTCGTTGGAGATGCATGAATTTAACCAAAAAGAGGATAAAGATGTTGTCCTGTATTCGGATACTATCAACAGATAATGTAAACAATTTAAACTAAAGGAAATGACTTCAGATATATTCAAGGCCTTAATTTTCATGCAAAGTCTAACAGCAGAAAAAGATGCTGAAGGAAGAAAGAAAGTTTTGGCAAAGATTGAATAAATAATAATGTAATAATACGGGAAATAGCGGATAATTGCAAAGCAATGTTAAGTCTGAAATATGATGCTGAAAAACTTTAGAATAAAAAATGTGTTTCTCATGAAGGTTTTGCGTTTCATTGCACCGTGCCTTTGACAGTTGGGAAATAGTGCCTATACTAATTGTAAGACCTGCCATGGAAGAGAAACTAAATTCGAAGTTATCAAGGGGAGATAATTTCATTTTCATGAGTAAGATTACAATTTTCAAGCGGAACAGGAAGTAATTGGCACCGCCAAAAAGAGGCGAAAAAGGAACAAAGCGTAAACTCGTCGAGTTCAGCGTCCCAGGCTACTCGTTCCTAGGCCCGGGAACAGACCTTAAAAGATTAAAATATTCGCCGGCATTGAACAAATTAGATCAGGCGGCTAAGGAACATTCACGAAAATAGGCAAACTATGAATTATGGAAAAACTAAGAGAATACAGATTCAAGCTTAGTGAAGAATGGCGAAAAATGAAATACCTGGGTCAAATTATTGATAAAAATGGTAGGAAAAAAGATCTGTCGAGGGCAAATGCAATTAGAAATAATGCCTACACCAACAAACGTAACTATATTACAAGCTTTTTTTTTAAGGATTGGCTAATTATTATTGAATTTATGTACATAATATACATAATTTGACAGCTCCGCTTAACAATCTACTGGAAAAAGGAGTAAAGTGGAATTGGGATCATAAATGTCAAAAAGCATTTGATAAGATAAAAAAAAAAGGTCTTATGTCTGAGTTATTGTTAGCGCATTACGATCCAAAAGCAAAGATTGTTGTAGCGTCAGATGCTAGTGATTACGGTGCTGGAGCGGTAATTTTATACAAATACGATGGTGGTTAAATCAAAGCTTTCGCTCATGCTTCACGCTCGCTTCTACCAGTAGAAAGGAATTATAGCCAAATAGAGAAAGAAGCTATATTCGCTATGAAAAAATTGCATAAATTTATTCATGGAAGAAATTTCTCGTTGCAAATGGATCATAAACCATTATTAGCAATATATAGTTCAAAGGAAGGTATACCTATCCATATAGCTAAGAGATTACATCGCTGGGGTACCATCCTGTTAAATTATAATTTTACGATGGAGTACCAACCATTTAAAACATTAGGACATGCGGATGGATTATCTAGGTTAATACCTGAAAAATGCAGAACCATTGCAGGACAGTGAGATGGAAATTAAAAACATTCTGGGCAACATAGTACGAGAATTACCAGTTACACTAGATGAAATAAAAGAGAAAGCAGAAAATGACGTCTTTATTGATAAAATAAAGAAGCATTTAAAAGAAGCAAAAAATACAGAATCAAGAATGGAATGCGTACTCGATATGCGATGATGGTAGAATGTATGGACAAAGAATTGTAATATCGAGAGTGTTAAAGAAACCTATTTTAAAGGATTTTAATTCCGAAAATCTTGGCATTTCAAGAATGAAATCTCTAATGAGAAGTTTTGTATTTGGACCGGAATAGACCAAAATATCGGAAAAAAACAGTAAAGGCATATAGAGATTGTGTTCGGGCAGCAAAACTATGTATCACAAAGATAGAACCTTGGCCAACGAAAAACACTCCGTGCTCAAGATTACATATAGATTTTGCAGGTCCTATGGATGGAGCATATTATCTAGTGGTAGTTGATAGTTTTACAAAATGGCCGGAAATTTACAAGTACAAAAGTCCTACATCCTTAGTGACAGTGAATTTCTTGCATGAACTGTTTCAGAGAAGAACCCAGACGAGGCAATGCCGAATGGCAGAGTCTTACCTGGGGAAGAAGTGTGTGTGTATGTGTGTGAGTATTATTGCTCCAAACACGTTGTTTTATTGAATACACTCCATTTCTTTTCATTACATTCACCGGCCTGTGCATTCGAAAAACTTAATAAAGGAAATATAAAGTAAATGTATTCTGCTTTGAAACAACGACGCAGGTTCGAACCCTGTCAAATAGAATCTCTTTTTTTATTAAGTCTCTCGAATGTGCAGGCCGATAAACCTAAGTGACCCTATTAAAAAAACAGGGCATCTATTCAAACACGGGTATCCACTAAATATATTATCTTGAGTAATAAGAAATAATATTGGATTAAAAAAATAAAATGTATTAATTCTTCATATATATATATATATATATATATATATATATATATATATATATATATATATATATTGTTAAATATAACAGACAATGAATGTCTATTATGTCTGATCGTGAGCCGTTCTAACGTTCGTATGTTTGCTTTAATTTCGGGTGAAAATAAAGACGAAAATTGTATATCATTTGGATATTTTTTTGTTAATTTAGGCCTTGATCTAAGCTATCGGCCCATATGAGCCATCTTCAGTGGTTATACGAACATTTTTACAAAGATATTCACCATCGAAGATAATATTTTGTTATGTTGACATAGGAGTTTGCTATGCGAGGATAGCGGTCACAGAATAACAGACGCAGGTCGTAAGTTTAAGATGCAGTTCTATGACGTCATACTACCCGAAAGGCCGAAATATTCACAAGAGAACCATATGACTAGATGCAATGTAAATTGTTGCGACTAGTTTGAAATGTAATTTTGTTGAGTGTGATTTGCTTTGTTTTAATGTAGATAGCCTCTAAAATCTGAAGGTTTTGTTTTACTGTGTGTATGTGCGAGTATTATTGTGTTATGTACATGGCTATGTTTTTCTAAGAAATGTTATTAAATAAAACTAAAATCAGAAAGGTGACGGGCTCTACAGGAGAGCGTGGTTGTAGTAAAACCAATATATGGAATGGGTTTATTATTAGTATCAGAGATACAATCTCTGAACAGGCATGTGAATTGATACACTACATATTTTTTTTGTTTTTATTTCTTTTGTTTTTTTGGTTTTGTTTTGTTTTTTTCTTTTGTTTTGTTTTTTTCTTTTGTAGAGGATTTAGTTGCGTGGTTGTATTGTTATTAGAGACTATAAGGTCAATTGTTTTGATTTTTTTATAATATATGATCAGTTTAACTTTTATTATTATTATTAATAGGTTTAACATTTCAACCTATTATGTTTTTAAGCGTTGTTTCAGAATGTTTGTAATTATTATGCAATAGTGTAAGTTAATAGTATTATGTTTATTTTGACGTACACTAATTGTTATGGGACCTTACCCATAATAACATAACGGACTATTCTACACGTTATAAATACTGCGCCTCAAGAGGAAGCAGAGAGTTCAGTCCGAAGTCGGGCGACCGGCTGACCGGCTGAACTCTCTGCCTTCGGGCGGGAAGGAACCCGAACGAGGCTCTGTCGAAGGGCGGAGTCTCTTTCGGGGAGGTAAACCGACCCTGAACCCGTTTATACAGGTTCAAAGGGCATATTTTTAGCTGAGCCCACGGGCTCGGAGATCCCACGTTAAACCGGCCTTGTGCCATATGATGCCCTCGTGGTGGGTGACTAAATACTGTTCAGTCTGAAGTCTGGAGTGAGGTCCGTCAGTCAGTCAGAGCGAGCGAGTCAGTCAGTCGAGTCAGAGGCAGTCCGAAACAGAGTCGCGTTCAGACAATTACTACAAGACATTGGATTAGTGATACTGGTCGAGACTACATTGTTCTCCCTACTAAACCTGATTGTTCGTACTAACACTTTCTACTTCTCTGTATATATTCCTGTTTGTAATATATCTGTGTTATTCCATACCTGTGTTCGAGTTCTTCTTTATTGGTTCTACCTTGGACCATCACCGTGATACAAGGACCTGGACTATAACACTAATATTATTATTATTATCAATTTTGTTAGAGGTATTATTAAGTTTATTGAGATACATTTTAATTTATTGATCTATGACGGAATTAGGAAATCCATTATTAACAAGTGTTTGTTTAATGTTATGTAATTCTTTATAGAATATGGTTTTGGAAGATATCATTTGTGTGTGTTGCATTAAGTTTTTTATAACAGCTAAATTATATCTTTGGGGACATTCACTATTATAATTAAGAAGACAAATTAATGCTAGTGGATTTCCTCTATAGAGAAGTAGTAAATTTATGTGTGCTGGAATCAATAAATACATCAAGGAATGGAATTTTATTATTAATATTCTAATGTAAATTCGAGGACGGAGTGACTTTCAAATCTATTTTTAAAGTTGTATAATTTGATCAATATTTTTAGCTAAAACGAAAATGTCATCTATGTATCTTACATTCATAGGAGGTTTATTAGTGTCATTAAGTATTTTATTTTCTAAATGTGCCATATAATAATTAGAAAAAAGTGGGCCTAAAGGAGATCCCATCGCAATACCGTCTATTTGAGTATAAATATTGCCTAGGGTGTCATAAAAAGCTACTTGAGTGATACATGCTAATAATAATGTTTGTTTTTTTTAAATAGTTGGTTTGATATTGATGGGTGGGAGAGAAGTGTGATTGTATACATCCCAGATAATGATATCATTGGTTCCATATATATATATATATATATATATATATATATATATATATATAGTGTATTGGGGCAGCATTATTTAAACATATATTGTTGAATATGACAAACAATGAATGTCTATTATGTCTGATGACGAATGGTTCTAAAGTTCGCATGTTTGCTTTAATTTCGGGTGAAAATAAAGGTAAAAAATTGTCCAACATTTGGATATTTTTTAATTAAGTTGGTCCCTAATCTAAGGTTTCAACTCACATAAGCCATCTTCAGAGTGGTTATACGAACATTTTAACAAAGATATTCGCCATTGACGATGATATTTTATTATGTTGACAAAGAAGATTGTTATGCGACGATAACAGTTGCGGAATAGCAGATGCAATTCGTAAGTTCAAGATGCGGTTCTATCAACACATTACATTGCATCTAGACATGGTTTTGTTGTTAATATTTCGGCCTCTAGCTTGGTATGACGTCATAGAAACGTTATCGTCGCATAGTAATATTCTATTAACATTAAAACATTTTCATTAAAAACTACTGTCAAAGTACTGCGGTTAAGTTTTTTTTTAATTAATTTTTCTTTTGTTCTTATAATTTTCTTCTTTCCTGGACATAAATTATATCGACATTTTTTGAATGTTCTGTATGTCCGAGCGCTTTCGGCTATAATTTTTTTTTAGCCATTATCAAGGGTGATTTTATTTTTACTTTATATATATATATATTATAAATTATCTACACTTCTTAAACATTTCTAATCTGAACGGCCATAAAACTTTCCGAAGTCAGCTCAATATTTTAAGATGAATCTGTGTTGATTTTTAGTTTATGTCATTTTGTAGCTGTCAAATATGATTTTTTTTTTAAATCAGTAGTCAGTTGGACGAATGATCATGCTCAGAATACGCAACTCTTAATTTGAGTATCATGATTCATATTTAGAAGTTTTTGAATGGATATTGCAACAAATGGTTTAATAAAAATGGCAAAACCAAAGGTGAATTTTAAAAATTGAGAGATTTCCTGTACGTCATAGAAACTGTAAAATATAAAATTTAAAATGGTACCAATAATTATTGAAGTACTGGTAACTGTCCTGAAGTTCTTCTTGAGAATCTAAAGCAAGTATACATTAGATAGAATAAGACAGATTGAAGGAGAAGACTTTCTCTTTTCTTTTCTTTTAATAAGTAAATGATCATTTCAATAAACGATGAATGCTTTTAATATTATAATGTGCTAGAGTGCTGAAAACACTTGATGGTATTTCTTGTAAGATTGGTATGTGATTTTAATTCAGGTGTGAATGGTAGAATGAAATTTAACTTTAAAAACAGAACCCTGAAAAAGTAGAAAGATTATCCTTTTACTCTCTTCCACTGGGTAAATTCTACAGAGAAAATAACATTTTTTTTAAGTCTGTTGTTTAAATTTGATCATATTGAGAAATCTGACAACGAGGTCGGAAATGTCTTCTAGAAACAAGTTATACATAGGCGTGGCCTGTGTGGGCACAAGTTCTGTCTGTCATTTAAGGGGAACTGGATCCACCCACTTTTCTAATCACTTGTGCCAGGCGTATGCGGCGAGCCACGCGCGTGTCGTGTGAGTGGCCAGCCGAGCGTGTTATAGAGGCCTGAGTCAGGTGTTAAGTTAGTTGCGGGACGCGTATAGTTGAAAGGTGGGTGGACCGAGCAGAGCAGACCTTTCTTAACCTGTAACAGGAATTAGACACAGGCAAATAAAGAAGAAGAAGAAGAAGAAGAATATGATGATGAACTTTATCGTGTGGGTGGGCTTAGAGGTTAAATGAAAGAAAGGTTTGACTACAACAAGATTGTAAGGTATTTGAATTTGAACAATAAAGAGGTAAAGAAAAGAGTGTCGACGATTTTTTTTCTAAAAGTTAAGGTAAGATTGAGAACAGAGAAAAGGCAGTATAGGAAAAGAAAGTCTGCTATCAGGAAAGTGTGAATAAATAAAGATTTTTTTTATTCTTTCTACTTCTCCTCGATACAAATTCATTCTTTGATAATGAAAAAAAAGATTGAAATAAAGAAAATAAAAGAAATAAAATCATAATTAAAACATTTTCTCTTATATATATTTATAAAGATTTTGTCAAGAAAATCAGCGTGTATAAGCGAACGACACTTATAGGCACATCTATAATTTATCTACTATAACTAAATCTAAGTCTATATATATATATGTGTGTGTGTGTGTGTGTATATAAATATAAATAAAAAAAAATATATATATATATATATAATTATTTATATATTATATGCATGGTACTTATTAGAAAGCGCTCAATATCAGAGATAGAGTTAATTTGTTGATAGATGTGAGTTTGTGACCCTGGGTTTCACGCTTAGGGTCACAAACTCACATCTATCCAACCAAAATATATATATATATATGAAATGTATATACTTGTGTCTGTACATGGGTTTGTATGTATGTACGTAAAATTTAACAAGTAGAAAACTGAAATAAGGTGATAAATACGTGAACAAAACGTGTGTGTTTAAAGATGATCGCAAAAGCAATATTCAGTCCTGAAGAGAAACGAAATGAAAGAAGTCGAAGTGCAGTAGAAGAAAAAAGACAAGGGTGAACAATCGGCAACAAAAAATAATAATAACGCAGAAGGTAGAAAGAGGAAAGAAAGACGAAAGATAAATAAAAGCTGGTGACTTTGAGAGGGAGGGATGGATGGAGGGAGGGAGGGAGGGAGGGAAGGGGAGAGGCAAGGAAAAGAAAAGTGTAAAGACGAAAAGAGGGCGTGGAGAAGTGAAAGGGAAATAAAAGGAAGTCGCAAAAAACTACTGAAGCGAAAAAGGGCAACGTAACTAAGTGGATGAAATTAAAGAGAACAAGTGAGAAGGTAGGAGAAGAAAGAAAGAAGACAAGAAATAGTAGTGAGTGGTTAGAAACGAAAATGAGAGAACCAAAGAGAAAATGAAAGAGAAACAAAAGGTGAGACGAGAGGCAGACGACAAGTGAATGAAGCCGTGTACAAAAAAAAAAAAAAAGAAAAAAAAAAAGAAGTATAATAGCTGGACCATAAAGAGTGCTTCGTGACGATAAAAAGCCGCTCCCTACGTCTGTCCAGCAGTCAGTCAATTTTGAGACACGTGCGAAGAAGCCCGCACGCATTTATTTATTTGTGTTGTTTATTTATTAAGTGCTAACCTCAGTTTCGTCACCATTATTATCATCATTTTGTAGTCGCCGTCTATTCGCATTCCGTTGCAAATGAAGAGACGTCAGGAAGAGTTGAAAACAAGATAAACTTACTTCGAATTTATTCTTTTATGAACAAAAAAGAAAGTGGAAAAGGAGAAATTGAAAGAAGTACATAAAAATATTCACGCGCAAACCACAGAAGAACAAAAAAAAAATGAACTTATAAGCACAAAAGATGGGAATAAGAAGGTGTGCGGAGATTTTAAATCTAAATCATAAAAACCAGTGCCTGAATGAATTGTAAGGAATTAATCACCTCATTTTCTGTACAGTGAATTACCGTAAATTTATTTTACAAGCTGAATTCTACAATTTCTTTTCAACCAAACTTTCTAAAAAAAGCCACGGACAAGACAGACCAAAAGCAACATAAACGACCAAAGAACAAAAAAAAAAAAAAAAAAACAATCAAACAAACAAACAAAAAACCCGCAGGACTTTAATAACGACGATCATTTTCACGCGTTTAAATTAGCAAAAACGGAAAGGCTTCTGGTGTTCGTGTGTTATTTATTATCCTGGTCGTGAGTCTCATCAAATATTTTTCACAGATCGGATTTTAAAACAGACGCTTCACTACGGAATTTCATTTAAGAAAAAGAAGAAGAAAAAAATTTTCATAAACATTAAAATCATTTATACAACGCGCTTTTAAACAGTTATATATTCACAAGGACTTCTCAAAGATAAACATTTCCATAGTATTTGATTCTGTCGGCAAGTATTCTTTTTGTTTTTTTTACTCAAACACGTTAATAGTAAATACTACAGATTCATTCGCATGATTTCATTTGATCAACGTGTGTAGATTTGCTTTTATTTCTACCTATTAAAAATGAAAAGAATTTGGAAAAGCTTATTTGGAAAAAATATATGAAGCAACTGTCATAAACCAAAGTTCATTTAACCTTGATATTTTTTTTCTTTTAATAAATAAGACATTTATGGCTTAAAATACTTTTTCATAAAATAATTCTTTCTGATAAAAGATTTCAAATCAGAAACCAAACACAAAGAAACAGACTAAAACGTAAAGCGATTTTATATTTGAATTTGAACTTCATAAATACTTTTTTTCAAATATAACTCCGTTAAAACAACTTGGAAAAATAATCACAAAATATTAATATATTTTATGTGGCTTACGTTTGAGATTTATTACTAATGCATGTCTTGTACGTGTTTTTCTATTGAAAGTAAAATCTAATAACACGGAAATCTCCCCTTGAAACACATCTTCGTTAATTTCTCTATGCAGATATTCAACTTAAAAGTCGTATTTCGAAATTAAGGCAAAGTAATTATGAAGTTTGAGGATACAATGGTGAGAGATATCCAAGCCATTAATCCGAGCGACTCTCATTTAAAAATGTCTTCCGAAACATTTGGTTTAAGTTTTGCACCAACCACATTTAAGAAATTACTGGAATTAAGTCAGTGCTACCACGACGACGATGATGAAGATAAACAATATGGCGTCGATTCAATCTCGGAAGACTTCCATTGTGACTCCGAACTCTCGAACAATGTCATTCTCGAAGAGGACGTTAAAGCAAGAATCGAAACTAGAAAGCCGGACGTCATTAATGAGATGTTCAACTCTGAATCTGAAAGAACGTGGCAATATGGCGGAGAGAGCAACAAATCACAACGAAAAACTTTAAGGTCCGATGAAGACGACAACAACTGGCAAAGAGAACATTTGCCTAAGTGTCATCACTTTAGTGATAGCAAGTGTGTCTGTAACCAGTGTGGGAGTTGTAAAGGTCGCCTGTGCAGACAGCGAAACCACAACCATTCACAAAACGATCACATAGTGCACCTTCCGCAACAGCAAAACGATGCACAAAACCTGGCACAGAAAACGCAATCACTTAATGAGCACCATAATGAGCATCACAACGAGCATCATAATGAGCATCATAATGTCTACCAAGAGAAACAAATAAACTGTCATTACAGTTTTCATCAAATTCACAAATGTCGACTAAAACGAGACCCACGTTGTCGTAAAAATGATAAAGTTTCCCAGGCAGTACCGGGGACAGAGACAACAGCCAAGAAATCGGCAACAGGTGCTAACATAGGCAAAGAAACAAGGGAATTATGTGTTTTAAATAGACACGATGATTGCTTTAATCATAAAACAAGGACGTCACCTGAAACCTTAAACTCTGACCATAGCGGCATCGCTAATGATAATATTACCATAAATAATAACAACAACATCGACCGTAACAGCGCTTCTTGTGAGTGTATCATTGATAACGGCAGTAGCCAGCCCACTGACGAAACGTCGTCAAATTATACTCCGAAAGTATCTACTGACCCCGTCGAAAAATGCCGGGTGCGTTGGATAGGCAAGCGAAAGCACATGCCGCCCTCACCTGTAGTCCTGAAGACCACGCCCAGTGTGCATCCGGCAGTAGTTTTGGTAGCCAACAAAAGTCAACCCAGAAGCCTCTCAAGTCAGTCAAGCACTGCAGCGGGTGAGGTGGACGCGGATATATTGAAAAAAAGAAGATTGGCTGCTAATGCCAGGGAAAGACGTCGAATGATGAGTTTAAACGTCGCCTTTGACAATTTGAGAGCAGTCGTTCCGTCTCATGGAAAGATGTCCAAATACGATACTTTGCAGTTGGCACAGGCTTACATCTCAAAGTTGCAAGAAATCCTTGAAATTTAAAAAATAATATTTAAAAAGAAGCAAGAAGTTTGGCAAATGCATTTGCATATGAACATGTTTAAAAGTGGAAGCATTTTTCAACAAATTGCAGATATGCGTTTTACTTCATCAAGTGCAGACAAAAAACGATAGCCGCTTATTTTCATCTCGCTATCATTTCTGTCACTGATTATTTCCCTGCACAATGGTACGTTATTTTTCATGAAATTGTATTCACTTAAATAAGATTGAAATGGTAAATCTTTTCCATCGCATCTGCATGGTCCTTATCTTCAGGACATTACAGATATGTGGTTTAACTGTAAAGAAATATGATGTTTAAAAACATTCACAGACTTTAAAATAACGAGAAAACTCCTTCATCATCGTTTAATCAGAGGAAAACGAATTCTGATTAGAACTAATTCGATACATCCGAAGTCAGATATTTAACGATTATATTTTCTATTCGATTATTTTGAATTATAATTAAAAAAAAAAAAAACTTTACAAAAACAGGTTTAAAGTATTTTTCATTCTTCAATATAAAAGTGGTTTTATTTTTTTTAATATTTAAAAATGTGTCCCTGTTGAATCGAGAAAACAATCAAATCAAATGCTTAAAAAGCATTTTTTTTATATATATATATTTTGAAACGTTTAAATTTTAGTGCCTTATTTGCAAGTTTTGCAAAATATATTGGTGACTCTATTTTGATTACCAAATTCCCCATTTCCTGGTTACAGGTTTGTTTAAAACCGACACACATGCAAAGCGAACAGAACCCCGGATGATTTCATGTCTATATGGCCAATCTTGTGAACAAAGACGTTTTCCAAAAATAGCCATAAATCTACAGAATGAACTGTTAATAATTTATACCATTTTTCACAATGAACAATATTTTTTCAAAAAAAATGAGGATGACTATTTGCATAGAAATTGTCATGTAAAAAAAAAACTTTCTACCTTAATTCATTAAAGAGTTTCATTTTGCTGGACAATTTTTTGTTCAGTGATCAAAATTATTTCTATTACAAATTTTGTTGCTTTTTCATTTATTCTTCGTTTTTGCTTTCTTCTTATTTGTTTAATTTTATTCATTCATTTTACTTCATTTTATTTACCGTGATTCTCCATGTATAAAACGCTTTCATCCATAATACGCAACCTTAAAATTGTGCTGAAAATGTGGGAAAATCCTATTACTTACGCATAATACGCACTTCTTGTTTGGTAATAAAACCCTATAAATTGTATCTCTCCAATTTCATTACGGACAACGTTTCCTACTGTTATTTAAAAAAAGATTTTAAACATAGAGTAATATTATTCTAATTTAGTTTTATGATAAATCTTATTTTATTTTACGGCAATTTTTTAAAGATTTTTTGTAGTTGTGCACCCCTGATTTTGCTTATTGTTTTTTAGAAAAAATGCGTATTATACATGGAGAATTAAGGTATTTAAATGCCAAAACAAAATGAGAAAGAAAATATAAATGAACTTCATGACAGAACGCTACCATAGACAAGACGGAAGGAAACTTATATAATTTATCTTTGCTTCATTAAGCAATAAACAAATATTATCCACACTCTAGAATTCCTATTTTAATTCATTAAAAGTCTAAATATACAAGTAAATCAATAAATCCGTATCTTAATTAGTAAAAGAAAAAGGAATTATTTCACATATAAATATTTTTCAACATCAACATTTTGTCAATGAACATAACGCTTTTAATTAACTCAGAGATCAGGTATTATACCGTGAAAATTCCAAATCAAGATTCAGCAAATCACTATAATATGCTATGGAATTATTGATCCAACATTGGAGAACTTTAATTTAATTAAAAGTATTTAAGTTTTCTTATATTTTTCTAATTTTTATAAACGATATTAACCCCTTCCCCGGCGTAGACGTGTATATACGTTTATACCGAATGTTTTTGTATTTTTTCAGACACGAATGAATAAACACGTCCAAAATATAATGTTCACAAATCAGGCGTGTTTTTACGTTGTTCTTGATTATTTCTGTGTCCATCTGAGCTTGAAACGAGTCTAAATGTCAATTCAAACGTCAGCTAGAGGTGTTAGCCACCGCTCAGGTACATCAAGGTGCCTTACTTTCTTAGTTATTCTGTTAAAAACAAATAAAATTTGCTTCTGAAAATGAAATGTTTTTCCCAAATCAGTTGGCCGGTAAAAAAATCCAAGTTCTGGAAGATACATATTTAAAAACGTCCTTGGCAAAAAATGGGTCTAAAATTTAGTTTAATCATTTAATAATTAAGTGTAAATAAAATCTAAAAAGAATTAAATATTTTACTCATTAGGTGGCTGAGATAGTTGCGCAGTTCTTATTTGGTTGCGTGTTCGAGTTCAGATAAAAGTCACAATTTTCAATGCTGATTTTAAGGACATATTAGCTTTTCAAACTACTTGAATAGCTAACACGACTCAATGTCGCTCCTAAGCAAACAAGTTCTTGTGTCATATTAACCGAGGTAAGATTTTATTTTTCAGTGAGGTCCTCAAAACGTTTAGGCATATTTTTTGAGAACACGATACACACACACACATACATGCATGCATATATATATATATATATATATATATATATATATATATATATATATATATATATATATATATATATATATACATACAGTCGGCAAATTCAAACTTTTACAAAACATGCAGTAAAAAATGCTCACTACTGTCAGTTGTTCCGGAATATTTATTTTTATGACTGTTGTCTGCGTACGCGACACACATGCGCACGCGCATGTGCAGAGAAACAAAGCAAGAATTCAATGGAAAACACTATTATTAGGTAATCAGCGAAATCGCAATTAATGCTTTTTTCAATTTATATTTCTCTTATCCTACATGCATTTATTTAGATAATTATTGGAATATTTTTTTATTTCCGTTTATATACACATCCATATTTTATTATCTATCTATCTATCCATCTATATATATATATATATATATATATATATATATATATATATATATTGAGAGAGAGAGAAAGATAGATAGATAAAGATATATATATCTGTGCGTGTGTGTGATTAATAGATTTTCTTGATCCAATAATATTTCTTATTACTATAAACATTAATTTAGAGGGTATACGTGTTTAAGTATACACTCCAATTTATTTACAAACAGGGAAATTAACGTCTACCGGCCTATATCATTCAAAGTCTTATCAAAGAAAATATTACCCTTATCATAAATGAAACCTGCATATCCTTTTCCTGGAAAATCACCTTTTAGCCAGACAGGGCTCTGCCGTTTCAGTCAACAGCAAAGCAAGTTTAGACTCAGCCTTTTTAAGAATCTTTCTCAGGACTGGTTGAAAACAAATAACTCAACTGAAACATCTACCCTCTAAAATAATAATATATATATATATATATTTCTTTTCACTAATCGATAAACTTATAAACGCTAACAATCGTAAAACCAAGTGCTTAATGTCAAATGATAGAGTTTCTATATAAAAGCAACTAATTAAATAGTTACAGTTTCTGTAAACTACACAACTGTAAGTTTCGTGCGGCCTACACACACACATATATATATATATATATACTAGCTGCTGGCAAATTCAAACTTTTACAAAAATCTTGTAGTAAAATGTGCTCACTATAGTGTAGACCTTATAAAACGTATACAATAAAATGTAAAATGCGCAATACGTTGGCTATATAATTTTCAACCTTGATTATATCAGCTAAAATTAACTTTTCTTTCCGTGGCCTTTTCCATGTGACACAAGACAATTGGTTAAATTTGATATTTTCACTTGGAAGTTAACTAATACGTAAGGATTTGTTAAGTTTGGTTATATAGAGAAAAACAAGCTGATCTCTCTATATTCCCATGATGTTAAGATTGATTTGAGGGAAAGTCTCCCAAAATGTTGAATCGTGTGGATGAGAGCCACTATTTTGTTAAAATCACTTGCATCAAATTTCACCAATTAGAAGACTCTGACAAATTAAATAAAATCATTTTTAACGATTCTAAATTATTTAAAGATTTATTGAATATATATATGTGTGTGTATGTGTGTGTGCATGTAAGTATTATTGCTATAAACGTTGTACTTACTGAGTACGAGTAAGTAATCCTGATTTTTAAATAGAGAGATGGTGAAACAGTAACTTTTAGCAATAAGAAAATGTCAGATGTAAAAAAGTTTATTCTTTATATATATATATATATATATATATATATATATATATTGGTGAAGGCTTGTGCAGAAAAGTGTGGATGGTTCTGCAAGCCTTCACCCTTTTACGTGTGTGGATTTTCAGGCGGCTTACCTTGATTCACACACACACACACACACACACACACACACATATATATATATATATATATAACAATGAAAATGTTCTGTCAGCCAATTTCAAGTCATTGAAAATGATGTAATATAATCAGTCAAAATGAAAATTTTTATGTGTTTTTTTTATTTATAATAAGTCAAATTTTAATAGATAACACCAACCTTTATGAACGACACAATGCAAAGAAAGACTCCAAAATCTGGAGGCTGTTGTAATAAAAGAGAAGTAGCCAACAATAAATAAAGTATCTTTCTCCATAGGGTTCCGTATATTGAATTGTATTTAAAAAAAAAAAAAAAAAAAAAAAACACCAGCGTAACCCTTTATATGACGTCACCTTGAGTGAATGAAAATTGATTCCATCATACGTGAGGACGTCGGAATCTTAAGAAATAGTTGCAAAAATCTACGCAGAACAAACAAATGTAGAAATATTCAAAAGTACTCGGGGGAAAAATAATATACAATAAAATGATATGAAATTTGGCAAATTTACTGATAAAACATAACACCTAATTCGAAAATTTGAAAAATTAAATAATAAAAAAAAATTGACAGACAGAACTTGTTTATATTATTTAATCAATCATTTTTAAGAAAATTATTACTGCCGGAACATACCTTATATATATATATATATATATATATATATATATATATATTAGTAAATGAATATTGTTTGAATTGTGATCATATTGTTATCGTTTGAGATGGACGGAAGTGACGTACATCTTCAAAATCATGACGTGATGGATTTAACCGTTTTTCTTTTTAACATTTTTTATGCTGGCTTGAGAAAGTAGTAATTATTTAGGAAAGCATATTTATTAGGGTCCATTTTATATATATATATATATATATATATATATATATATATATATATAGATAGATAGATAGATAGATACACCTAGTGAGCTAGACAAACCTACCTAGGTTTCACCTAAACTTTGGCCAAACTTTCCTGACGATCCGTTTAGGTGAAACCTAGGTAGGTTTGTCTGGCTCACTAGGTGTATCTAGGTCTGCTCTACGGTTGTATTGAGCTCTTTTGTTAGTTAGTTGTTACTCGTATCGGGGTTTTTCTTTGGGCTTCAGACCTGCATCTGTGCGATTTTTTTGTCGGCAGAAGTTCATGTTTGTAGCTCTTTTTTTTTTAAAACCTTTTTTTTTCCCTCGAGATTGATTTGATTGGCAAATCAAAAATCGAGGGTTTTTCGAAACGAGTCTAGTTATATATATATATATATATATATATATATATATATATATATGTATGTATGCATGTATGTATATATGTATGGGAAATGTGAAGATGAGAGAGCGAATAAATGTATAATTGTGTTAATGTATTTGTCACCGAAGCCGTTGACAATGATCTCATATGTGTGTCCCAGACTAACAGTGTTGTGTCTTGGCTTCAGCCAGAAAACGCTTATATATTTACACGTGCATATGTGCTTACATTCACGCGACCGTGTGTCTGTTTCTTAAGGTATTCGTATCAAACGAAAACACCTGTCGTTTCAATGATTACTCACCTTTTTGTGCACCTGGAGAAGATGTTGTCATTGGTCCAAACACCTTACCCTTCCGACCTAGTCAAGCTTTCTCTTACAAAAGGAAAAAAAAAAAAAAAAAAACTGATAGCACGTGCCGCCCATGTGCCGTCCTTCCAAATAATAATCGTCATAAAAATATTATCTCGGGTTGCTTCAGCAAATACAGGTGAGTGCGAACTGGCGGAACGAAAACACCGACTGCTTCTTTGCTAAAAGGACGAGCAGGTTATAATCAGGCAAATCGTTTTTCGGGCAGAAATTGGTTTTTATCAATTTATTTGTTTTGACGACAGGTAAAGGTCAATAAAAAAAAGAGGCTTATCACGAACTACTCGCTGGAAGCCAGTGAGAAAGACTTCTTACAATAATGTTAGTACTGATCGGATTAACAAAGAAAACTTTCATCAGTTCCCGAATATTTTTTATGAGTGTTGTCTGCATACGCGACACGCATGCGCACGCGCGTGTGCAGAGAAACAAAGCCAGAATTCAAAGGAAAACACTATTATTAGGTAATCAGCGACATCGTAATTAATGCTTTTTCCAATTTATATTTTTCATATCCCACATGCATTTATTTAGATAATTATTGGGATATTTTTAATATCTGTTTATATATACATCAATATTATATATATATGTGTGTGTGTGTGTGTGTGATTAATAGATTTTCTTGATCCAAAAATATTACTTATTAATATAAACATTCATTTAGAGGGTATACGTGTTTAAGTACACATTCCTATTTATTTACAAACAATGTCATACAAACAATGTCATTAAGGTCTACCAGCCTATATCATTCAAAGTCGTATCAAAGAAAATGAATCAAATCTGCATATCCTTTCCTTGGAAAATCATCCTTTAGCCAGACAGGACTCTGCCGTTTCAATCAACAGATGCCCTTACAGCAAACGAAGTTAAACTCAGCCTTTTTAAGAATCTCTCTAAGGACTGGCTGTAAATAAATAGCCAAACTGAAACATGTACCCTCTAAAATAAAGTAATAATAAATGCATTTGCTATAAAGTAATCGATAAGCTTATAACCGCTAACAATGGCAAAAACAAATGTCAAAAAATAGTTTATATATAAAAGCAAATAATTAATTAGCTAGCGTTTCTGTCTATCAACTACACAACTCTGAGTTTCGTGGGGCTTACACATACACACCCGTACACACACATAAACACACATTCACACAGGCCCGCACACACACACACACACACATATATATTGTCGGGTTACTCTATAAATGTGGATGTGCGGTGGTGTTATTTATAGCACCACGGAATGAGAAATCTGAAGGCCATGTTTGAATTCCAGTCAAGTTCGTTATATACATTCATTTAAGCGCAAATATCTATCACTTTTCTGTCCACTAGCAGTTATGTGTTAAAAACAATCTCGAAGGAAAAACACTGAATTCAAAACGAGACTAGAGAGTTGGGATCCGCCATGTTATCTTTTTCCAAAGATACGCCACTGTTGCTTTGACTCCAGTACGTGTGGTGTCTCTACGAGCCTAATGTATTACGAGACTTGTGATCTCGATCGTGTATCTATGAATGCTACTGTTACATATCAACACAGTACGACCTGCCATATGACTACTAACCTGGTTCCCCGAACAGACCTTTCTAGTGATGAGTCTGGTTCGACAGCTCGCAGAATTAAAAACAAAGACATGTCAAAGGGCGAATGAATTGACGGCAATCTAGCACAGGCGTGGGGATGTAGAGATATCTGGATTGGTGTCCAGGCGCCTCGTAAGCCCCCACTCGTTGTGTTCACCTACAGTCCGTATATATATATATATATATATATATATATATATATATATTGTATTCAAAATAGACAGCACTTGTATTTTTATTCGACACCGTTATTGGAATGTATGCTAGCTCGGTATACAATATTATCAGTCATACATTGGCCGTTGAAGGGACAGATAGTAGTAATTAATAAGCTACAGGCGGAAAGTTTGGTAGCGTCCTGCATTTCTTTAAAAAACACAAATTAAAACGAGATATTTTTTTCAATTAAAAGATAAAATTTCAGTAACTAAAGAGTATTGGGCTTTATTTTTTAGTCTTTCTACCGGCTCCTCTTACTATCAAATTCAAATTTTATGAAGCTACCATATCAATAATAAAACACAGAAATCATTAGATAAACATAGAAAGTCCTCAAAAATGAATATAAAATAAACACGTGACCATCTACCTAACCAATGAAAACAAACAACATAGAATTAAAAAAAATCGAAACATCACCGTTCGATCCTAGTTACTCTTAACTTCTGAAGAAACGAAACAAATAGCGAAACATGTCAAATTTACATATTTTTTATTCTTTTTCTTCTAAATTAATCACACACAAACACGAATACACACACCGAGTAACGCATGCACATACGCACACACATATATATTTTTAATTTATTTGTTTAAAAAATTTGCTAATATATATATATATATATATATATATATATATATATATAGAGAGAGAGAGAGAGAGAAAATTAATACAAATAAAAGGTTTGCCATTTACCTGATTGATGTTACTTTCAGCATCACGACTCCAGAATTTCGCAAACGAACTCTCCAGAATCACTCCGGCCACTCGCCGGCAGCAGGTATCAGCAATTGACTCTTTATATATCTCTATTTTTTTTATATGCACTTTTCATTGGTGTAAGATTTCTTTCCATAGTGTATGTGTATGTGCGTGCGCATACGTCTAGAATGTCGTGCTTATTCGTCTTTTTCGAGTTTTTTTTTTTTTGCTTTACACTCACTCCTTAACCTTTTCTCTATATTTCCTCTTCTCTTTTAATTGTAGCCATTCTGACCGCCGGTTTTCTAGACATCTATTGTCATTATTAATTTTTGAACCTTCTAGTGTTATGAATTTTATCATTTGTTGATATTTTTTTTAGTTATTATGAAACTGAATTTTTTTTACAGTATTCTTTTTGTATGCTTTTATATTTTCAGAAGGCGTTAGTCAAAACCCGGTACCTCCACAGAAACACGATACATAAGGTTTAAAATGAATTTTTGAAAATGAAAAATCTTTCTTGAAGCTTTTATTTTTGTTTCAATTTCAATTTCAAGCTAATAGATTAAATTCAATATTACCGATAAGCAATATACTTTCCTGTATTTCAAAACGAATTTAAATTGACTGGAGGAAATCTTTGTTTAGAAATCGCTCAAAATGGCTCATTTTGGCGCCATTTTTCGCCATCTGTCAACACGATGTCATACTCTTTATCAATTTTTTTTAATATACTTTTCTGAAACTTTATTTCAGGAAGATTATATGATTTCCAGTTTGATTCAACTGATTATAAACAAATATTACTTATTTTTAGTTTAAAATATCGCTGAAATGCACTTTTTACACGGAGGTAGCTGTTTATTTAAGGTATTGACGGCGGAAATATATCTATGATTTCTACGGGTGATATATATGTAAAAATTACTTGAGGAATATAACGTGAGCGCCTTTTGATTTAATTTTTAATTACCCAGTAATCTTAAAAAATTGGAAAAAATATTTTCCGTAATATAATGTTTTATTTAATTTTTAGTACTTTAGCTTTAAATTTACTATTGTTATCGCTCTTATTTTCTGATAATATCGTGTATGGGCATCCTTATTTAAAACATCCGGTACGTTTATACACACAAAAAATTTAAAATTTCAAAATATTCAGGTTTTGAATAGTAGTAAGATTTTCCATTTATGGTTAGTAAATATAGTTTTTACTTAATAACAATGTCACCTAACTGCAACAAATTAATACAGATATGTAAAAGATTTAAAACTTTATAAATTATTCTAATTAAAATATTTTAAAATGTGAAAATAATTCTTGTAAAAATTCATTATCCATCGAGTTTTTTTTTCTCAAGACAATAGATTCTATAATATATTTTATTCAAAATTCAATTGAATTTTTTTTTCTAATTTCTAGAATAATCTCTTAGTTTTATTTCACTTTTTATTTTATGGTTGAGAGCAGATTTTCTGTAACTAGGAATCCTGTTTTACAAAAGAAAACTGGTGATTTAAATTCTCCAAGGGTTTCTGCGTATAACTAATATAAACATTAAGCCTTACAAAAATTAATTTCTCGAAATTTCATAAAATTAAATTAGTGAGTGTAACAAATGTAATAAAAGTTTTCACCAAGATTTTCAAAAAATGAATCTTTTTTAAAAAAAAACAATTCTATTCATCTGAGAATACATTCTGAAAGTTTCATTAAAATCCGACAATTAAATGATTTTTACAAAAATTTCCAAATCAATATGTTTTTCATCATAAAAAGACGCTAAAATTTTCTATACTAATCTTTTGTCCTCCATCCAATGTGATGTAAGAAAAACAAGATTTTTAATCAAAATTTCGAATCCTATAAATAGGATGAGAAATATAAGTTAATAATAAATAAATCCTTTTTTTTTCTCTCCTCTTAATAATAAACAATGATTTTGGCAATAAAACTTTGTTTTTATTACGTGTGGGACATTTTGTCATAATATTATTTCATCATTTAATGAATTTGTGGAAATACCGAGAAAATGGTCAGACATCAAAATTTTATTTAGTTAAAAACATATAAAAATTGCACTCTGTTCTTTTTAATACAATTTGAGTGGAAATGTATAGAAATAAATATCACTAAGTGTAGTGCAAAGGTCAAATCGAAGAAAACAAGAGAAATGAATTACGGTAAACTTCCAATCAGAGAGAGACTCTGCCTTTCTGATTTAAATATCAGTATTCGAAAACTTAGCTTTATTTCCGAAGACTCGAATACTGGTTTCCGGTGAGAAATACACACCTCCATTAGCCGTAAAGCAAATCTCAATAAAAATCACTCTATTTTGATATAGTGAGTGACGTTACATATTTATGTCTGCCATTCGTACATGCTTCGAATATTGCTGCCACATATAGTCCGCTACTCCTGCCATATATTTACAGATTCTTGATAAAATCCAAAGAATCTACGTCTTCAGGCTCTTTCTCACCGACTTAATGTGAATTCCCAGTGCCTTTTCTATAAATACTTTCATTGTTTTTGTTTTGAGGAATTTTGCTATATGATACCTAGATTTAATTTAAACGCAGTATAAGATTGGAAAAAAGCTATCATTCTTTTAAAGTTGAGTTGGTTAGATGTAACCGTAATTTCTTAACTAAAAGTTTCTTTTCTCACCTGTTGAACGCTCTCCCAGTTTTTTGCTTTACAGATATTTGTATCTTCAAAAATGTAAAAGCAATGTCAATCGTTAGGTACTGTCCTCTTGATTCCTCTTCTTTTACCATTATCACACCTTAGTAATGTTTTTTTATTTTTCTTATTCTTTAACTCTATGAGTTAAAGAATAACCCTGGGGCTTAGTGAAATATTGATTAAATGATTATATATATATATATATATATATATATATATATATATATATATATATATATATATAAATTATGAAGAACTTGGTAATCCGTGTGGGTAACCCCAAGAAGGATGAAACCTGAGAGCTCAATGTAAATACAGAGCTAATATTTAAAAGAAAAAACAGACCACTTTAAGGTCCCATTATAATAATTTATTTCACCAGAGCCCTTTTAAAAGACGCTGGATCATCAGATAACACTTCAAAAAATGAAATGAAACGAAAATGAAATTAAAATTCTGATATTTTATAATATTTTAATTTCACTTTTCGTTTCATTTCATTTTTGGAAGTGTTATCTGATGATCCAGCTTCCTTTAAAACGGCTCTGGTGAAATAAATTATTATAATGGTACCTTAAAGTGGTCTGTTTTTTTTTTAAATATATATATATATATATATATATATATATATATTGGGGGTACCTGTTTGATTAGAAAGTGTTTAAAATAGAGGACTCATATATATAGAAAAAGGAATGTAAAAATATGTATGCATATATAAATGTATAATGTATATAGGTATAATATTTAGTTGGATTGATATGAGCTCGTGACCCTGGGTTTTACGCTCTCTGAGATCGTCAGAGAACGTAAAACCCAGGGTCACAAACATCAATCCAATTAAATATGTTAGCTCTATCACTCATACTGAACGCTTTCCAATAAGTACCGCGCATATATAATATATAAATAATATAGAGAAAAATTGCATATATATATATATATATATATATATATATATATATATATATATATATATATATATACATACACATACACATTTTTATATATATATATATATATATATATATATATATATATATATATATATATATATATAAAGGAAATCTATGGCAAAGCAGAAAACGTGTGAGACGTTTTCTCTAGGACTTGATTGGACGACACTAAACTGATGTTTACTTTGACATGACTACCCATGCGCACGAAAAAGAGAGATTGATGCGAATTTAATTTTTCTTTTCTTTTCTATTTTTGGAATATCTATTATAATCGATTTCATTTAGTTTCTTTTTGTTTATGTTTTTATCACTTTTGTTATTAAATATTCCACATTTTGATAATACAACATCTTCTAAGAGAGGGGAAAAAACAGAACATAAATTTACTGTGATTCCTCTAGAGATTAAAGCATTTTCTATACAGTTTCCTCTTACTAAATCACTTGATCTTTTAATTATACTATCATTTTAGTATCATTTTCGTACCATTTTTGTCTGATGAAATCCTGAAGAAGTCCTAAAGAACAAAACGGTAATTGTTTACAAAACAACGTAATATACCAAGCCACAATAAAATCACCAGATAATGAAGAAAAAGTATACATAGGAGTAACTGAAGGATCCTGGAAACAAAAAGATTATGCACACAAAACATCTTTCACAAATAGTAAATATGCGAACAGCACAATGCTTTCTAAGTATATCTGGGAAATTAAAAACAATACGCACATCACACCAAAATATCTTGGAAAGTAAGGAAAAGATCATCAGTCTCCAACAACCAATCAAAAACTTGCAAACTTTGCTTGGAGGAAAAAATAGCTACCCAGGCCAAAATAAATTATTAAATAAAAGATCCGAGCTCATCTCAAAATACAGACATGAAAACAAATTTTTACTACGTTACTTAAAAATCGAAAACTGAAAAAAATAAAATAAAACAAAAAATAAAATGAAATATAATAAAATAAATAAATATATAAACAAAATGACAATAAAATAAGTAAAATAAATTAACCCAAACAAATTACCAAATCACACCGGTTAGAATAGACAAAATAAAATAAATAAATAAATAAAAAAAAATCAATGAACCCAAATAAATGAAGTAAATAATGAACAAATTAACAAACCATTATGGCCAAAATATTAGACTATAAAATCAAACCAAAAATCGGACGAAAAACATAGCTATATTTATTATATAACGATAAAAAATACTACGTTACTTAAAAATCGAAAACCGAAAAGAGTAAATAAAAATATACAGTATAATAAATAAATAATAATAAACAAGTAAAATAAATTAATCTAAATTCATCCAAATAAATAAATAAACATACTAACAAGCCAATCCCGATAAATTAACCGTTAGAAAAACAAATAAAGATAATCAATTCAAATAAATACATAACGTAATAAACAAATTAAAAACTGCTCCTGCCAAAATAATACTTAGAATAAACTACAATAATCAACCCCAAAATTGAATACATAGCTTTAATTATCTTCCCAAACCAAAACAAAACTATTAAATAAGCGATATAAACAAATTTTTACAACGTTAATAAAAACACAAAATAAAAAATAAATATATAAGATAAGAAATAAAAATAAAAAAATAAAAAATAAATAAATAATGACAAGCAAAATAATTTAACCCAAATAAATAAACAAACACATAAACGACTTCCGGTAAAACAACCGCCAATATAGACTACCCACAGTGCACCACTGACCCGTATATATAAATAGCCGAGAAAAATAGCAGCACTCGTGGCCTAACGATTGCGTCTAGCAGAAACAGACTGTCGCCTCTAAGTGTTGACTTCAATGTTCACTTTTATATTTACACACGCTCTATCTCTGATATTGAGCACTTTATCCCATAAATATAGCTCACCTTAAGACTATATTTCTTTATATATACACACACACACACACACACATATATATATATATATATATATATATATATAGATAGATAGATAGATAGATAGATAGATAGATAGATAGATAGATAGATAGATCTCTCTATCTACCTCTTCCGGTCTCTTCCTATCAGTTTATCTATCTATTTTATTGTGATCACATCTATCTGATCTTTCCTCATCTGTGGATATATATATATATATATATATATATATATATATATATATAGAGAGAGAGAGAGAGAGAGACAGAGACAGAGACAGAGAGACAGAGAGAGAGACAGACAGAGATAGATAGATAGATAGATAGATAGATAGATAGATAGATAGATAGATGTCTCTATCTACCTCATCCGGTCTCTTCATATCAATTTATCTATCTATTTTATTGTGATCACATCTATCTGATCTTTCCTCATCTGTGGATATATATATATATATATATATATATATATATATATATATATAGAGAGAGAGAGAGAGAGAGAGACAGAGACAGAGACAGAGAGACAGAGAGAGAGAGACAGACAGACAGAGACAGATAGATAGATAGATAGATAGATAGATAGATAGATAGATAGATGTCTCTATCTACCTCTTCCTGTCTCTTCATATCAATTTATCTGTCTATTTTAGTGTGATCACATCTATCTGATCTTTTCCTCATCTGTGGATATATATATATATATATATATATATATATATATATATATATATATATATATATATATATATATATATATATATATATATATATATATAATAGAGATAAGAGAGAGAGAGACAGAGACATAGATAGATAGATAGATAGATAGATAGATAGATAGATAGATAGATAGATGGATTCTTAATGGTTGAGAGTTGTCTATCTCGTATTGAAACAAATGGTCGTTATTCAATGCCAGGTGTAAGTCTGTTTCAACACAAATAGACCTTTCCCTACATTAAAAGTAAAAGCAATACAACTCTCCCTCTACTTTATTTATCTTTCTTTGGGTCTTGTGCTAGATTAAGGTGAATTTAATTAATATCTATCACCATTATTATGCAAGATGATACATCCATTTCATGAACATAAAATATCTACATAGATAAGATGTCTTTGTCGCTCAAGCTTTCTCTCAATCGCCTGACATATATAAATATATATATATATGTGCGTGTGCGTGTGAGTTTGTGTGTATGTATGCGTGTGTAAGCTTAATCGTAATACCATGTCAATCGTCTTTTAATGAAACTTGCATACATATATATTATATATACGTGTGCGTATGCAACTTTTATATACAATGTGCAATATACAGTTTTCCTATTGTCTTTTTCCTTTATATATATTGTATGAACATTAATGGAAATTATTATTATTATTAATATATTACAGTTTAAGGTGTGAAGAGAAGAAAGTCTAAACTTGTAAACAATGTCCGTGCCTACAAAGCGTGCAAATAAAACCTCTCGTTCTCGTAATAATTTCTCTCTTTTCGTCCTGGCATTGGCCGCCATCATTAGATAGCCATTAAAATGTCAAACTAACTCAGTTGGCTTATTTAATGTAGAGGTTCAGCGGCGCCAGACACCAAATCCCAACAGCAATTTCGGACTTTACTTTTAAATTAGGTGAGACCCTTTATCGTTGTTTTTTTCTTTCGTTCTTTCTTTCTTTTTTTTTTCTTTTCTTCATAATCTACTTTCTTTGAATATTGTCTCCGATTTCATATGAGACGCGCAGGTTAGAAAACACCGTCAAATATTTACATATCAGCCCAAACGTAGATCCAAGTCGATTGGCAACCACTATTACTTAATCAATGCACTTCGGATGATTATATACAGTTACAGATAAAAACTGTAAATATTTATGTCGTAGTTTTTTATATATATATATATATATATATATATATATATATATATATATATATATATATATAGATATTGATAATATTAGTGGTAAATATACACATACATATGCAATCATATATCTAAAAATATATAAATATATATACATGCATACATACACATAGATATATATTTGTATAAAAAAATAATTCCAAGAGGATAGAATCCAGGTAGAACTCAATGTCCAGGACAATAAAGGATATAATAAAAATAGACAGTAAAACACTAATATTCCATGGTCATAAGCTGATGAATTGATCGTATTTACGATTCCAATGGAATAAATTATGACCATGGAATATTAGTGTTTTTTTATTTTTATATTATATATATATATATATATATATATATATATATATATATATATATATATATATATATATATATATATAATGTGTGTGTGTGTGTTTGTTTTGAACAATAAAAATATTGAGAAATGAAAAATTTAATTTTTCAGACACAGTGGGTTGTATATTAATCCTTTTTGTTTTATTATTTCAATTAGGTTCCTCGACTAGTTTCGGCCAACATGGCCATCATCAGGAGAAAAAAATCCCTGATTGTTAGTTAGTAGCAGTGAACTACGGGAATGAATGACTTTCTGAAGAAAATGAACTTTATCTGTAGTTTTCATTTGTTTTGTTTTTCATCGTTAATTTTGGTCAGTCCTTGTGTTGGTCAAACAGCCTCTTTTAAGTTGTTTTTTTAAGACAGAGGCTGGATAGATTCATGCTGCTCTGAATTCCTTGGTCATTTTGACAGTTTTATTGGCTCCTGGGAAGGGATGTGTCTGTGTTAAGTGTATGGTATCGTTTAGTTCTTCAGGAGTATGTATATATATATATATATATATATATATATATATATATATATATATATATATATGTGTGTGTGTGTGTGTGTGTGTGTGTGTGTGTGTGTGTGTGTGTGTGCTGACATAAATCTAAATCAATCCATACATTCAGATAAAAGTAAAAATCATCCTTGATAACATCGGAACACGAAACTAGTTTACGTTTCCAATCCGTTCTATTCCGAAAAAAAAATGATGGACATTTTGTGAGCGAACAAGAGCATTGATGACCAGTCACAGAATTCTACACGTTTTTTTTTTTTTTTTTTTTTTTTTGGACAGACTTTAAATAAAGACAAAAGGAGGAATAGAATTCGGTAGCAGAATTGTATGAATAAAAGAATTGTCGGGCTAATCGAGTTACAACACAGAAGAACGTGTGAACAAAGCAATAAAAGGAACTGAAACGGTAATTGAGATGCAAGCCAGAAGACCGCGTAAACAACACATTAAAAGAACGAGCTATGTATGATACAAAAGAAACCTTACGAAAAGAGTAATAAATAACTGACGGGATAATTATTATACAATATAGAAAGCAAAATGAATGACATTAAAAGAATCGAGCGGATAATTATAATACAGAAGAAATAATAAAATAAGAGACCTAATAAAAAATCGACAAACGAACAGACTGAAAATCACATTGATCTCACGTAGGGCGAGAAATACTTCCGTAAAAATCTGAAATTGCAGATTAAAAGATGTGTTTTTAAAGAGGTTATCTGACTAGTAAATCGTTATCAATATTAATGGCACGCTACAGCAAGATAAATTATATGAGAGAGAAAATCAGAATAACACAGCAAATGACGTCTGTGTGGAGAGACACAGTTGGGTAGGAACAATGTGAGAACTCTGCAAATGACTTATGTTCGGTTATGTAAACAAATGATATGAACACAAATTGGAAAATAAGAAAGACAAATGCTTTTATTTTAGACGCATCACCCCGTCTAATTGATAAAAACCAGACTTTATCTTTGAACAAAGAAAATACGTGCAGTGACTGCCTCTGTAGGTCATAGATTGAATATAGAGGAGAATGATAGTAAAATATCAGGAGCATGCGTAATGCAAAGCCTGCATAACAAGAGGGTGAAGGTAGTACCTATAGTTTTTGGATCACTTGAAATGGCCTCAAAGACCTTTCTAAAAAGATGGAAGGAATTGGTTCAATGGTACATATCATGACACTGCTAAAATGCGCTTGGAAATCTAGCAGGGACTTACTGTCATGACTAAATATGACGAACCCTTGACCCTTGTCTGTAGATAAAATAATAAAAGTACTGGAAACATATTGAGACGAACAGAGAGATAAACAAAAATGTTTTTTATTAATTATTCTTGAGTTTTTCAGCAAGTAAAGTTGAAATGCTGGCTTGTGAGCGTCTATTTTGATTGTTATTCATACATATAGATATTATATTCCTATTCTCTACGTTAAAACAGTTTACATTTTAAAAGCCATAAAAATTGAAGAGCGAGTGGATTTCAGAGCGAAAAGAAAGACGTTAAATGCTTGGTGTTTGTAATGGCTGCAATCGTCTGCAACTGTGAAATGTTTTTGTTTCTGTCTTTTCAAGCGTGTATCAGTCAACGAACGACAATTGTCATTCAACGAACGCGTCCTTCAAGCCCGTTACTCGTGTACACAGGAGACTGTCATATAATCCACCTGGCATGTGCCCACATCAGACTAGCAAGAGAACGAGCGGCGGACGAGGTGAAAAGAAAACAACTTGTCAGGACGCGCATGCTCTTTTCTTTTCACCGTTGTTAATTAGTGGCACAACATTGACAAAAACATTCCATCCCGTGTTCAGAAGGATTTTCATGTAATAAAAACAAATGTGGTTCCTCTTAAAACTTGCATCGTGTCATTTCAGTAAAGAAAAACAGATTATGGAATTGAAAAAAAAAAAAGAGAGTTTTGATCATTTAGTGTTTCAATTTTTCAGTTTAAATTCATTTTTGTTATATCACCATTGACTTTAATTTCGATCTTAAAACTTGAAATCTCTTCTACATGGAACCATTAAAATTTAACTAAATATGGAACTTTAATTCTACTGTTTGATGTTTACTGAAACTGACCCTGCCAGTCAGACATCAAAGGAAAATTAGTGGCTTACGATTAAATAATTTTTTGTGCGGCAAAGTGATTAACAACTAATGAATGAATTTGTCTCGAAGCAGCTGTTTACAAAAAAAAAATATCTCCTTCCTTTACTCTTTCTTTGCTTAGCCTTTCATCTTCTATTAAGTTACATTTGAATTATTTTGAGAGGGATGCATACGACAAAAATTTCGGGAAAGGTTTCATCTGAATTTTACATTGAATTTTACTTTGAATTTTAACTTAAATTTTACATTGTACAGCTTAGAATTTACCATCCTGCCAAATTTGTATAATTTTTATTTCATGTATAAATTGTCCACTTTTCTCAGTTTTCTGCTCCTTTTGGAAAATTCAGCATCTGGTAATATATTGTGACAAATAGGATAGTTTAATAACCCTACTTCAAAAGGAGACACGGTGTAGTAATGGATAGCAGAGAACCGAGTTCGAATTCCAGTCGAATCCATTACATTCATTTACATCCTAATACCTTTGGGAAAGGTATGAATACTCCTCTTCTCCCTCCAGTTAATAGTAGGACAGACCAGGTTCTATAGCCATTGATGACAACTGGTCTACCGCAGAAAGAAATGGCAATCTACTGCGGGAAAAAAAAATCTGCCTCGTCTGTATATATGATCGCCTAGGCGCGTATCAAGCATGGCACATAACTTCAAAAGTCTAAATAAAGAGTGAAATAACAGAAGAATATTAAAAAAAAAATAGAAAAAGTTAAAGGAAATAAACAACTGTTCAATCCCGTCATGCCATTCGTCCGACATTTTGCCAATAAGTTATCTGGGACGATATTCCAAGACGATACTTAACTTGAAATTCTGAACCAGGAATTGTTCACAGGCTCCCGGTGATATCTAATTCTTGATTTTTAACGTTGCTTTGAATTGTATTTTAATATGGTTCGTCGTCACCGAGCAATCAGATTGCAAATAAGATACAAGATCTTAAATAACTATGGACAAATATTTATTTTACGTGTAGATGTTCTTAGGGATATATGAATTCATCTGTGATATCACAGCTTAAAATATGTGCCGTAAAAAATGCTGTGACAAGATTAAATAATTTTCTGCTCGTTTTTTTTTTTTTTTTTTTTTTAATAATAAGATGTATCTCGATTTATACTGAGTTAAAGCTTAATAAGGACAAATACGTGAAAGAATTTGCATTCATTGATATGCCTCTACCCTATCACCATCATCGGTGATGGTAATAGGGAAGAAGTATATCAATGACTCAAGACGCTAGAAGAAAGGGAAAAAATCCCGTTTCTGACCATCAGCTCTGAAATTTGGGGCTTCAATCGAATAATAAACAATGATATCCTCTTTCACTGTTAACTTGAAAGTCAAGATAAGTTTTACACACACATACACACATACATACATACATATATACATATATATATATATATATATATATAGAGAGAGAGAGAGAGAGAGAAAGAAAGAAAGAGAGAGAGGGAGAGAGATCTGTGCGTGTGTGTGATTAATAGATTTTCTTGTTCCAATAATATTTCTTATTACTATAAACATTAATTTAGAGGCTATACGTGTTTAAGTATACACTCCTATTTATTTACAAACAGGGAAATTAACGTCTACCGGCCTATATCATTCAAAGTCTTATCAAAGAAAATATTGCCCTCATCATATCACCCCGCAGCAGAGAGTCTCTGACAGCTTAGTAAGTTTCACGTCCGGGGGAGGGCCCCTGAGCAATTCAATCGCATACTAGCCAATGGAATTCGACGAAGTCTTGAATAAAATTAAATGTTAAATCAGAGAGAGAGAGAGTAAGTCTGTATGGGTGATTATCTATGCTACTGTCGGAGGAGTAGGAGGCACGGTGACGTAACGGATAGCGGTTGGGATTGTGGAATCGGAATGCCGAGTTCGATGCTAATACCCTTGGGAAATAAATGAATCCTCTTCTCTATGCTATGGGCAGACCGGTTTCTATAGCCTTGAATGGTCTACCGCAAAAATACTATGGGAAAAAATCTGCCTCGTCTCTCTGTATGATCACCTAGGCGTGTATCGAAAGATACATGATCGCCTAAGCGTGTATCACGCATAGGTTCGCCGACTAAACCAGCTACCCAACTCTAAGTTCTTGCTAGTAAGGCGGTTTGTTAGCAAACCTGTAGGATGAAAAATAAGACCTATCAAAAGGCGGAAGAGCTCTTTACGACTCGACAGTCAGCAGACTAGCGAAGACAAAGGGAAAACCACTCCACTATCAACCCCAAGAAATATCATGGCATTTAACAAACAAATATCTGAAATATGATTAAGTCTATTGGAATTAACCCATCGCCCTGTGACGTCATCCAGCGACTGTTAGCATAAATTGATTCCTCGCCCGGTAAGGGAAGACATGAACAAATCTATAACAGCGGTGATATACTGGAAGATCTATTTTCATAGCACTGCTTAAGAAGCCAGGTGCAAACGAATGTGAAGGCCATCGGACAATCAACCTAATGAGCCATATAACAAAACTTATCATCCGAATTCTGACGAATAGAGTGCGCAGAAGAATCCAACTGAAAAGAGAACAAGAACGCTGTGGGTTCTTCAAAGACATCACAACAAGGAACGCTCAGAATGTTATCAGAAAGAGCAGTACAAACACAAAAGGGCATTTTCCTGTGTTTTATTACGTAAAGGCGTTCGACAGCGTGAAAATTCCTCCTTGGAGGGATTGTAACGCAGGCTTATCATCTCTCAGTTGCGTCTCTGTCTTTGGACAGAGTGCGCTCAGGGGCTTCTCTGTGAAAATTATACCGAGAGGTGCCCAGCTGTGAAAATTATACTGAAAAGGTGCCCAGCCCTGGGGAACAGCTGCCCGAGGCCGCGCCCTCCCATTGCACCAGAGGGAGGGATCGGTGCTCGCACTGAGGCCAGCGCAACCTACGGTTGCGAAGGCTGTGGGGAATTTTTTGTCCCTTGCCCGAGTGTACGCGCTCGGGTCCCCACTTTAAAACGACCTTGTGTTATACCTCGTTCTAATGGGGGTGGGGGCGAGTAAACACCGTAAAGGCGTTCGACAAAGTACATCACAAAAATCTGTTGGAACTGCTCAGCAACTTTGATATATTTGGGAAATATATTAGAATAATCAAGAACCTATACTGGCAGCAAACGGTCTCCATACAGATGGAAAATGAGTTCAGCAGTTATACAAAAATAGAAAGGAGTGCAATAATAAATCTCATCGGATTTATTCAACCAATGCAGCGAGGCGATTCTGGGATAATTAGAAGTCCTACCAGGATTTATTATTGACGGCCACAATCTTAAGAACATGAGATATGCAGATGACATGGCGCTGATAGTAGACACAGAAAGAAAACTAAAAAAAAAACGCCTAAAGAATGTAGTGAAGGAAAGTGAGAAAAGCCGCCATGGGATCTTCGCCAGATGCGCTAAACTTGTATCTCGTGTTAGACTTAAAATTCATAAATACTCTTCCTTATTATTTTTTATTACTATTTTATTTGTGTCCTATGTAAATTGTTGTCGACTTCAAACGGTAGAGAAGCTTGGCTTACTCAATAATTTCACTGGAAATCAAATGGCTGTTTTATGAGCACGTGCGAATACACACACTAGCTAGCAAGATAGATAGATAGATAGATAGATAGATATGAACAGACTGAGATAGATAGATAGATAGATAGATAGATAGATAGATAGATAGATAGATAATATGAACAGACTGAGATAGATAGATAGATAGATAGATAGATAGATGAATATGAACAGACTGAAATAGATAGATAGATAGATAGATAGATAGATAGATAGATAGATAGATAGATATGAACAGACTGAGATAGATAGATAGATAGATAGATAGATAGATAGATAGATAGATATGAACAGACTGAAATAGATAGATAGATAGATAGATAGATAGATACCAGAAGATGCTGAAAAGTTCGCGGTCCGACCCACTTCCCCAAACCTGGTTGAATTACGAAACTCGAAGTTGCCCTTGGAGAATTTTCATTCCCGTACTCTGTTTAGAGGCTTATCATTTGTTTCCGCTTTAGGATTGGGTTACTTCTAAAATCTTCTCATTCTCTTTCACTCCCAGTAGCCCTTTGTGTCTTAGGGGCATGTTGTAGAGTAGTTTTCACAGTGGAGGCTTGTATTTCAATGTCGTCCTAAATTAGGTTCGACGTACAAAACGTTAGGAACTTGAAAAAAGAGTTAATGATGCAGCAATCTAGTTGCAATCAACACCTCTGAGCTCAACTGGCCACTGCTACTACTACTTATTATCTGTGGGAGAGTCTATTACAATAGAATAGGTATTATGGTATTACAGCGCATTATCGCCTTGCTTGGGAAGAATTTAATTTTAAAAAATCTGCTCCTACTCTAGAGTCTTCTGAGAACGTTCTTACTTCTTTTTATGAAGTTCTTATAAACACGATTAGTTCAATTCCTGCAGAAGATAAGATTACTTTATTTGGTAACTTTAATGATTGCAATGCGTACAGAGTTTTGGATATGGAGCCCTCTTCGACCATAGGATATCGTTAGAAAGAACAGCAGTGACTTGAACTTTGTTCTGAGCTAGATTTTGCCATCACTCATACATATCT